AGTATCGTCCCAGGGCAGTCCCGTACTAACACCTTCTGTAAACTCAATGTATTTGCAACCTGTGACGGAGAGAGAGATACATAACCTAATCCAAAACTTGCCCAATGTGCTCAGTTGTGGTATTGATGACATTTCACCAGTGCTAATAAAGGCTTGCATAAATAAATTGACTCCGCCTTTAACATTTCTGATAAATCAATCTTTTATTGAAGGCACTTTTCCCGACAAATTAAAAATAGCTAAACTTAAACTGATTCTTAAAAAAGGCACCAAAACTGATGACCCTAGCCAATACAGGCCCATAGCGCTTCTTCCTGTTTTATCTAAACTATTTGAAAAAACCATGACTATCCGAGTGTACAACTTCTTAGAAAAGTATAATATTTTCAGTGACAATCAATACGGGTTTAGGAAAAAGCGATCTACGTCTGAGGCAGTATTCAAATATGTGCAAGAGATTCTGGCCTACATCAATGACAAACACTATACAATCGGAATTCTTCTCGACATGTCTAAAGCATATGACCGAGTTTCACATTCTATTCTACTCAACAAGCTGCACGGAGTAGGCATAAGAGGCGACGCTCTGAAATGGATCAAATTTTACCTATCAAACCGCAAACAATGCGTCCAAGTAGACCACCTTGATGAAAACACAGGCGAGCTGAGAAATATACTGTCAGAAGTAGTCACTACTACCTGCTCTATCCCACAAGGTAGCGTTATAGGGTGTGTCTTGTTTTTAGTCTACATCAATGATCTACCTAAAGTTTCAAACACATTATGTGTAATGTTTGCCGATGATGTATCATTATTATTTAAATGTAAAAACATAGACTACAATACTATTACTATAATTAACAATTCTTTTAATATTGTGAAACACTGGCTTCTGAAACAAAACCTAGAAATAAATTTCAAAAAAACCAAAATAATTCAATTTCGACCTCATCAAAAACACTCATTAGATTTAAATTAAATTGCAAATAGCCTCAATATAGAAGAGACAACACATTTTACACTATTAGGAATGACATTAGATTCACATTTAAATTGGAAAAGCCATATTGAAACGATCAAGTCTAAATTGTCCAAGTTTATTTACGCAGTAACCGTACTAAAAGCCAACACCAAACGCGAATGTGCACTCTCTGCATACTATGCATATGCCTATGCGTGGCTACGCTGCGGCGTTATTATGTGGGGCCATAGTACCGACGCAAATGGTTTTTTTATCATCCAAAACGAATGCCTACGCATCATAAACAATATACGCCCGAGAGATACATGCAGGCCACATTTTATAAAAGAAAAAATTATAACTCTTCCGTGTATATACATTTTGGAAACTGCCATGTTTGTAAGACATTTGGAACGTTTTGGTAGAAAGCACACGTCGAAACGCAAAGCTCGTATTACCAACTCCAAGATTGGAAATATTTAGAGATAGCCCGCTATATAGATGCATACTAATTTATAACAAAATACCAGACATCCTCAAGAAAGTAGATAGTGACAACGTGTTTAAAACCAAGTTGAGGTCTCTCTTGTTAAGTAAATGTTATTACAATGTGGGAGACTTCATGAACTCTCCTATAAGCTAAAAGAGTCCAGTTTCAGATAAGTAATTTTAAGTCTATGTAATACTATGATCTAAAGTTTATTAGTGATAATTTTAAGATCCTATGTGTATTAGTTCCTAAATGTTATTATTATTATTTTTTGCTATTATTTTTATTTTTACAATTTTAATATTACGTTTAATAATAATTAATTGCTGCACCCCAAAGGGTTATGTATGTACTTATTACCTATGTAATTTTTGTACCTACATTGTTTGCAAATAA